TACCTGTATAGAAAGAGTAATGAACAAGTTGTAAGGCAATGTGAACGCTTAGAGGAAGCCCAAGAGATTATTAAGAAAAGTCATGATTCAAAATTTATGATAAATTTTGGAGTGGATAGAACTACACTGAAAATTTTAAAATTTAAATTTTATCGGCCTACTCTATTTAGAGATGTTAATATATATATAAAAGCATGTGATTGATGTCAAAGAGTAGGTAATATTTCTAAAAAAAATGAAATGTCTTTAAATTTTAATTTAGAAATTAAAATTTTTGATGCTTGGGGATTAGATTTTATGTGACCATTCATGTCTTCATTCCATTTGGGATGATGACGGAGAGCCGTTTGATCAAGCGTTTATCAAATGAACGGGGGAGATCGAGCCGGACAACACTTCGGGACATAAACCGCGGGCCGAGTCAGCAGCTACGTGGATGGCGGCATCCAACCTGAGCGCGCCACGCATGCCTTCGGAGCTGCCTAGGATCTAGTCAGCACGCGCTGTTTAAATAGATAAATAGGGCTTTTTCCTATTTATTTAAATACCCTTAACTTAGAAAATCCATAACTTTGTGTGGAAAATTCAAAATTTTCATTATATAAGGGATTAATTACAAAATTTGGACCCGGTCATAGATATATGGCCATATAGATAACCCTAAAAGCTTCAAGACTTTGCTGGTAGAGGTAAGAAGGGAGTCTTGGACTAGGGCCAAGAGCTTACTTCTTACTTGTAGGGTTACTGTTACATTGGAGTTGGGACTGGTAACTTTGGTTTTTCCCTCTGGTCTTTCCTCTGGTGGTGTGGAAAGAAGCGGGAAGAAGCTTGCATCTACTTCAAGAAGGTGTTTTGGATTTTCAAACTGCTTGGCTTTGCTGGAGCAGTGTTGCTATTACTGTTCCATTGCTGTTGAAAAGCTTGGTAGTTTTTTTTATCCATATCTTTCTTCCTCTAATTGTTGAGCTCTCTTGGGGGTGCTGTTGGTGACTATTATGACTACTCCTATTGATTGGGAGACAAACATGCAATGGAATAAAGCTACCTATGCTGGGGCAGTTGGAAAACCCTCTTCTTCTTTGGTAGACCCTGATCTTCTAGTTTTTCCACAGGATTTTCATAACACTGATGCTGGCAGGGGTTCTGACCCTTGCATCCATCCTATGGGATTAAAGGATGGGAACCGGCTGCCATCTTCTCAGAACAGGATCTTTTGGAACTGAACTTGGAAGTTTAGTTCACACTTATTGGAAAATTTAGCCTTGGTCACCCGAAGATGGATCTAATGAGGAATTACTTTGATTCTCTGAACATTTCTGACTGGAAGCTTGGATTACTGGATGGCAGACACCTCCTTATCCAACTGACAAGGAAAGAAGACTATGCAAGAATATTTGCCAAAAAATTAATTATGATTGCTGGTGCTGAAATGAAAATCTTAAAATGGACTCCTGAGTATGATCCTTCTAAAGAACCTTCTACAGTGCCAATTTGGTTCAAGCTACCAAAAGTACCATTACATCTCTTCAAACTAAATGCCTTATTTAATATTGGCAGTACCTTAGGCACACTGTTGAAGGTGGATGCTGCTACCTATAGCAAAGATAGGCTAGCAATTGCCAGAATTCTGGTGGAGAAGGATGTGACTCTACCAGAAGTTAAGAGGATTTGGATTGGAGTTTCCTTAAAGGGCTTTTGGCAAGAAGTTTTCATGGAGCAAAGACCTTATTACTGTCAACATTGCAAAATGTTTGGTCATACTAGGGAGAAATGCTATAAGCTAAACCCTCCTAATAGAAGACAAATAACCCACCCACAGCTAGAAATGAATAATTAAAATACTCACCTCCTGAGAGAAAGCAACAAATAAACTCATCATCAGATCTCCAAGGTGACAGGAACAGAAGGAACAAACAATCCTTCTACTGATCAAATCTCTCCCAAGACCCAGCAGGTTAGGTCTTCTTCAGCCAAGAAGAGATACAGCTGGTGTGGCTTTGGAGACAGGTAGAACTGGAAGTGAAAATCCCACAGTTTAAGTCAGCTTAAGGGACCCTATTGAGGCTTCTAGAACTACTGGGGATCTTGTGGCTAGAGTGGAGGTGGCTTCCCCTACTGAAGCTGTGGTTTCAAAATTGAATAAAAAATTGGAATCAGAATGGCAGACCCAAAAAACAAGAAAGAAAAGAAATACTAAACAAGAAGATCTGAAAAAGAGAAAGGAAGAGGAATTATCAACCAATGAAGATCCTACAAAGGAGAGGAAGTATAGGAAGTATCACTAAACTAAGGGGGTGAACTAGATATAGATCTCAACCTTCCAACCATCCCCCCTGCCCATGATAAATATGCTGTGTTGTAATATAAGGGGGATTGCCCACCCCTTATCTCTAAAAAGACTCGAATATCTTAACAAAAAACATAAATTTTGGTGTTTGGCAATTTTGGAACCTATGGTTCATATCCACACTAACAAAATTACTAAAGCTTTCCCTGGCTTCAACCTTATCACTAACCTTAACAACAAAATTTGGTTTTTCTACAGGAAAGAAATGAAGTGCTCTATTTTAGTTAACCACCACCAAATCCCGCATATGAGTATTAGTACTGATGGCATGGATGGATTTGCTTCTTTTGTTTATGCTGACAGTTCCAAAACAACAAGAATTGAGCTGTGGGAGACTCTCCAAAATATCCAAGTCTCCATAGACAAAGCTTGGATTGTGAGAGGGGATTTTAATTGCATTTCTTCTCCTACTGAAAGAAGGGGGGTAAGAACTCCCAATCCTGTCACTATATCCAACTTCAATGACAACATTTTAAAAATAGGTTTATTTGATCTTGGATTTAGTGGCCCAGCCTTCACCTGGAGAAGGAAAAATATGTGGGAAAGACTGGATAGAGTCTACTGGTATGTGGGAAAGACTGGATAGAGTCTTTGCCAATGACCACTTGATTGAAAACTTCTTGCAGACTACTATAACTCACTTAAGTCTTGCTGGTTCTGATCACAGGCCTTTACTGATCACCATTGGACCTAATAACAGTTGTCAGAAGAGAGCTTTTAGGTACTTGAATGTTTGGTCTCAACATAAGGATTTCCTGTAGATTGTAAAAGATAATTGGAAGGCAGATTCTCACCCTGACCCATTCATTAATCTGTGGCAAAAGAAAAAAAAGGTGGGGAAAGCTCTAAAACAATGGAATTGGAACACTTTTGGATATTTTCTGAAGGTGGTGGAGAAGACTAAAAAGGAGCTGCTTGATATGGAGGAGGAGCACAGCAAGGGGAAGACTGATGAAACTGCTCTTTTAGAGGCCAGTGAAAGAGTTCTTATTGCTATAAATTGGCAAGACCACTTCCTAAAGAAAAAGGCTCCCAAGAATAAATTTACTGAAGGGGATAGAAATACCAAACTTTACCATGCCTCCATTAAGCACCAGAGAAAGTGCAACACTATCCATTGCATTAAAGATCAGAATGGAAATTGAATCAGGAAGGAGGAGGAGATTGCTGAAAGTGTTGTCAATTACTGCCAAAACCTCATGACTGTGCACAACATAGATAGAGGCCAGATAGACAGAACTTTGTTTTCTGAAAGCAACAAGTACACTGCTCATCTAAATCTGACTTTGACTAACATTCCTGCGGTGGGGGAGATTCAAAGAGCTTTAAATTTCATAAATAGTAGCAAATCTGCTAGTCCTGATGGCTTCACTGCCGACTTCTATAAAAAAGCCTGGGGGGAAATTAATGTGGAGGTTATTCAAGCTATCCAATAGTTCTTTAAAGGACATCCTCTCCTCAATTATTTCTGTGTGTCATCTATTGTTTTCATTCCTAAGACTTCAATTAAAAACTGCCGGAGTCAGTTCAGAACCCTGAGCCT